ATCTTTTGAGGTCCCTTCCAATCTCTAGCATACTGTGATACTGTGTGATACAGGGATCCTGGAGAGGGACTCTTCATCAGGGACTGTACTGATAGGACAAGGGCTGGAAAGGACATTAAAGTCATCAAGCTCCAACCCCTGCCATGGGCAGGGACACCTTCCACTAGAGCAGGTTGCTCCAAGCCCCTGTGTCCAGCCTGGCCTTGAACACTGCCAGGGATGGGGCAGCCACAGCTTCTCTGGGCACCTTGTGCCAGCGCCTCTGCATCCTTACAGGGAAGAACTTCTGCCTTAGATCTAACCTGAACCTCCCCTGTTGCAGTTTGAACCCATTACCCCTTGTCCTGTCACTACAGGTCCTTATAAACATTAATTAATACATAACTAATGACTTTAAAAACAAGCAGAGGCAAAACCACGTCTGAAATATCCTGGCTTTCAGCTCTGCTTTCTCAGAATCCCATTACCAAATCATATTGTAGTTTACCTGAACTGCCTTTGCAGTCATTGCTGTGCATCAGAACAAAAACAGTCAGTTCACAGCTCTTTACAAGACGGTTGTGCTCTCTAAAGAGGTCAAACCAGGCAAGATTCTGATAGAAACGTTGACAACATTTTCAGAAAAGGTGAAGGAAAACACTAGAAGTAGTTCAAGAAGTAGCAGGAATGTGATTTTGACAATGCAACTTCAACTTATCAATGTCAGAAACTTCAAACATCTAATGCTGACCTAATACATGACAAGCTGGCCTCCCTTGCAACAAAGTGTGAGCTAGTAGATGTGATTGTTTCCTCAGTGTTTGCAGATCGATGTTCTGTCGTACTGCTCAAACTCATTCAGGAAAAGGAAAAATAACCTTGAATGTTTAAATAGAAATGCTTAACTGAAATGAAATGTGACAACAATGAGGACAGTAATCAAATTATGTCTAAAGCAGGAAATACAAGATCAGAACTATGTGGCAAAAGAACTCATGTGGAAGTCATCCTCAGTTATCCAACCCTAGCTTTCTTTTAAGGCTGTTCTTTTGCAAAAGACACATGAAGAACTTAAGACAGTCACTTGACTTGCAGTGAATCCCAGTAAAACACACTGCCAATTTCATCTATGCAGTCTGTAGGATGGATACTGATGACAGAGCTGGTTAGAAAATGCTCCAGTATTGCCTTGTACTTTGAGCAATGTCTTTTGGACAGCAGACAAACATGGTAGCATCTTCCTTAATTCTATATGATTAAATTGCCAGTGGTTCAATAATCAGTAACAATGCAAACTAAATGTTTGCCCAACAATTCTGCAAGTTTCTTTCACCAAAATGGAGAGAAATTCATATATATAACTCCCTATAGGGCAGCAAAAGCAGGAACCTTTCATGCCTTTCTCAAAGAAAGAGAATTAGGGCAAGAGTATTCATAAAAGCATTAAAGTATTACAGTATTCTAACTGCATGGCACCTGAGGAACAAAAAAGCCTACTGGAACTGTTACCATGATAAAAGGATAAGATGAGCATATGGAAAAACATCTCCAGTCTCACTCCTAAAACTTGGTTTCTACAGTAAGCATTTAGTAATTAATAATACAGTAGGTATTACAGTAATATTATTACAAATATAATTATTAGTTATATTAATTAGTAATTAATATAATTAATATTAAAACATTATAAAAAATTACTTCTACGGTAGGTACTTAGTAAGAAATGAGGCTGTGAACTACAAGACCTAAATTCAGGCCTACTAGGGCACTGCTAGTGACAACTGTTTTTTTCTCTGTGCTTTTACCAATAAGGCTCAGAGGATTACAAAGACAAGCACTCTTTCTTCATCTTAGGTATGTGTTTGGAGAAGTATCACGGGATTAGATGTTGAAAACATCGAGGTCAAAACCAGAACACTGGAGAAGAGAAGCTGCATGGAGACTTCAGAGCAGCTTCCAGTGTCTGAAGGGGGCTACAAGGATGCTGGAGAAGGATTCTTCATCAGGGACTGTAGTGACAGGACATGGGGGGATGGGGTCACACTGAAACAGGGGCAGTTCAGGTTAGATCTAAGGCAGAAGCTCTTCCCTGTGAAGGTTCTGAGGCGCTGGCACAGGGTGCCCAGAGAAGCTCTGGCTGCCCCATCCCTGGCAGTGTTCAAGGCCAGGTTGGATGGAGCTTGGAGCAACCTGCTCTAGTGTGAGACATCCCTCCCCATGTCAGGGGGCTGGAACTGGATGATCTTAAGGTCCTTTCTAACCCAAACCAGTGTGTGATTCTGTGTCGTCCAGAAAACAATGACCAGGTCTCATAAAATCATGACACTTCCAAGCTCTGTCAAGGTCAAGAACAAGTATTAACTTTAAGAGTAAGCCAATTTTTACAACTTGCCTCCTTTACATAGAACTTATCAAAGAGTACAGATTCTACTAAGCCCTAGAGAAGATTTATCACTACCAAACCTCGGCTACAGCAAAAAAAAACCCTGTTCATGGAAGTTTTAAACTCTTCTGAAGAGAAAAGTAACAAGAGAACTGAAGCATAAAGGAAGATATTAACTCAGACATAAAGAATACTCAAACTTGCCTGGCTTCAGGAGATTGGTATGGAAAAATCAACATATAGGTTTCCATTTAAGATCTAATCACTTCTAAGTCTACAGTGTGAACCTGCAAGCTGTGTAAGTCCAGAAAAAACTACTTCCAGTCCCATGATAACAAGACAGCTTTGGGAGGATACATTCAGCAATAACACTGAACTGTGTATTTACCCTATTCTACAGGGTTTTTTCAATGCCATTTAAACATTTAAATGCCATTGAAAAAGGCAGGGAGGCAGAAGAGAAATTTAATCACAATCCCAACAAACTGCTCAAAACCAAAAAACCCAAACCAAATTAGCCCCCTTTCCACTGACTTCTATACAGAATGGCTTTAACTAGAACAGTGCATTCAGATTACGGGGTTTTGTTAGGTTAGGATTGCTTTTCATCAACCTCCTTTATATACTACACAATTAATATGGAAGCTTTTCTAATGGGGAATTGATACTAGATGAACCAGGCCACTACTCACAAGGACTGCTGTTTGTGAATGAGTTTCTGAGAAGTCAGTTATGGTTCTGGTTGCCTGTAGATATATCAAGGTTTTATTTAATATGTAACGAATCAATTAATTTGAAAACCCTCTCACAAATTCTTATTCTTTGAGAAGAAAAGAACCCTCAACACTAACCCCCCCCAAAAAAAACACCCACAAAACCCAAAACATAAATCAACTTAAAGAAGGGGGAAACAAAACCATATTTGTTAAATACATCAACTTCCTAAGTTCACATAAAGGAATCAAAGCACTCTTTTAAGAGCTTTTTGAGGAGAATATGATTTCTATTTAAAGTTTGAGTATCTTAGACAAGCTTCTGTAATTTTTGGTCTGAAAACTTGTAATGACATTCATTTTTATTTCACGGTTTTTCCCTTTGTAAATTCACTTGCACTTAGCTCTCCTGAACTAAAAATTTCTCTGAAATCTTATGGAAAATTTTGTAACATTAAGGATTTAGTCCTGTCGAGAGTGTTCCCCCTCCCACTGCCCAAATCCAAACCTTCACACACATGCAACCCGAACTCCTTTTCATTCTAGTTTCTCATTTAAGTAAGGCAAAGCACTGAAGCACTAATATTCACGAATGCGGAGGACATCAACAAAATAAAAACAAGGGAGCTCTTTCAGAAGCAGAAGGAAGAAAAGCAGGGGAGGTAAACGAATGTTCTGGAGTTTTAACATGGCTATGAATGCACTGCATCCCACTTTTGAGCTATTCCAAAGAAGTATCATCTCTTCACCTTTGGTTATAGAACTGCCAATGGAAGTGGTTCTCCTCTCTTCTTCCACCCCACTCCTCCACCCCACAGTGAATCTAGCAACTGTGCAGCCATGGGACTGATGAGTAAGTTGCTCCAAGGGAAACTACACTTTTTGGCAGTACAGTTTGCTGCTGGATTAGCAAGTGTATGAGCACTCCAACACCGAGAATGGAGCAGAAACGTGGAGTTGGGGGAGGGTTTCTGCCTGTGCTAAGGATGTAGGATGAGAAAGCACAGAACTACCCATCCTGACAACCTTAAATGTAACAAGAAATTGCACCCTAGATCCCAGTCTTTTACTGTTAGGTTAAAAGGAAGAAGTCTGCTATTAATATCAGCTACTCTACTGCTCAGCAGAAAGACAGAAAAATTGATCTGGAAGATTAAAGCATTGAACCAGGCAATTCTTTGGAAAGCCCAGCACCACTCTCTAATGCCATGAACCAATTCCTCCACACCTAGGGAGAGGGGGAAAAGAGCAAAAGACCTCTGAAGTGAGCCTTCCAAGCAAACTCAAAGCATGTTCACCGTAAAGAAGTGTCAACTGCAATAAAAGACATTTTAACGCGTGCCAATTCATGAATTTTTTCTAGCCAGCGTCACCAGCAATGTGCCTAAAGAACAACTATGCCCACTTTGCACTGACATTCTGAGATTCTACCACTGCAATCTCAGGCTGAAGGAGCAAAGTGAGAAGTTTCCTGCTTTAGAAGTCTAAACCAGAACAGCACAGAACTCTGCTCTTCCGAATCCACACCACGTTATAAAACTGGCAGTGTTTTTGCCGGCAATGCCCAGACTCACAGATGTCCATGTGCGAAAAAGGAGGTCATCCCGGAGTTGTTAAGCTGTTTACCTTTGCTTGGCAGTTGCAATTCCTTACTTTGAAGGCAGCTATGTAAGACAAGTGTAATTTTTTTACCCCATCACCCACCAACAATTTAGTGTACAGACAGCTGAAAGTTGTCTCTTGTTTTATGGGACTCTTCTTCTCAGATACCCAAGGTTTGCGAGTAAATACAAGATCACTACAGCATGCCAACAGTTTATCCCTCTATAGCACAACAGATTCTGGTTTCAGTGTTTTCCCCTTGTAAATAGGAAATGAGTCCAAGTATAAATGATAGATTTCTCCTTTGAAAGGGTGTCACTTACCAGTAACTACCATGCTGCTCATGTTAGAGTTCGGGCTATTGAGTACACTGCCTGAAAGAAGTTCGTCAGATCCTCTCTAAAAAGAAAGAGACAGTAAGAGATTTTTTTCCTCTATTTAGTGAGTTTTTAAAGATGATATTAAAAATGTCAGTTTGAAAGGGAAAACTTTTAGAAGAACTTCAGCAAGCACAACCAAACCTCTCCCGATTTGGCAGATTTCCTCTTTTTAGTTCAGTGCAACAACTTGAAATCCAAGTAAAGCAGTATATTTACATGGCAAGCTTTGAAATAAGAGCAGCTTATGCACAGTTGTTTCACCTGCCACTGAAATGAAGCCACCTCCAAACACAATGAAAACTGAACAATAATCACGTCCAGCATTTCCAATTAAAATATTATTAGAATTAAATATATTTAGGCTATTTCAGTCACATTTAAATTAACTTACTGGTTTACTATTGGAATGTATGTATATACTACATGATTCTAGCTGAAGCTAAAAGGGAAATCTATACAGACAGAAATACGGTGTTTAACTCGCTTCTAACACCCCTATTTGTAAAAAATCAAAACAAAACATGCCCAACCAAAACAAAACTGAAAACCCCAAGCAAGAAAAAAAACAAACAAACAAACAGTGGTTTTCATTCTGTTGTGGACATTCCAACAGCACCTCAAGAACAGTCAGCAAATGTGGTTTACATGGCACTTCAATACTGCACACTAAAATTACAGGAGGATCTCACCCGTCCAGGCAGCACGGTTGCAAGATGCATAAAATCAAACCTTTCCCATTTAATCATAGCGCACTGTATGTATTCATACACAGAACAATATGTTAGTTTAATTCAGACCTGAAATACATACTACTTTTAAGAGCTTCTGTATGTGTACTGCACACATAGAGCCAGTAAAGTTTACTCAGTTTTCAACATCAGCTCTGAAGAATCTTATTGAGTACTCTAAGCTCTTAAGGGTACACAGCAGTCAACAAAGCTGCCTATCAAGTCAACAACAGATTTCCTTTACAACTGAGTAATGCCTGATACCAAGACAAAGTAGGACCATGAGAAGGACCACGTGTCTCAAACTAAGTACAGACCTCTAATCAGATGTAGCTGGGTAAAACTTAAAAACAAATTAGAGAGGTTATGGAAACTCTACATTATTCAGACTGCTCTTCTTTCTACTTCAAATATAATACACCAACCCAGGCACTGGTTCTAGTTTTCTACTATAATATTTACATAGCTAGAATACTGCAAAGTTCAAGATTACTACCAGTATTAGCTCACTCAGCGATAATAGCAGTTCCTTCCTTGTTTGGAAGCCCTTGTCTGTAGCCTGGACAGCTCAACTGAATAGGCAGAAGTAGCAGCAGAGACTTAATCAGGCATATTAAGATAACTCAGCATTTTTTCTTCCCTTAATATGCCAGGCATTAATTTCCAATAGCACAGCAGTTACTACATATTGTATCCCCAGTACAATGAATGTTCTTCCCCAAACCCGCAGGAACTTTATGATTCTGAAATATCTCAAATTTTGGCTGTCTTCAGCTTCAAGAAGTTACCTCAGCAGCTGCTAACTAACAGCACACAAGAGTGATTCCATGAACTTCTCGTTCCTAGTAAATCGGGCTTCCAAAAAGCTGTTTATTTCTTAACCCACAGCAGAAGGATCCAAAAGGAGCACAAATTACTCAACAGACTGGATATTAAGTTACTGTATTTTTGTGTTTCATGAACAGTGAAGAGTTTTCATTTTGAAACATCGTTTTGAATATCACGAATACATTTAATCACAAGATTTAGTCATTACACTTGGAAAAGTTTTAACAGTTTTGTTTCAGAAGAACAAAGAAATGTGAATTCCTTATACTGGCATGTATCATCAATTCTACATTCGTTTGTCACAAATCAGTGTTCACATGTCTGATCCACAGATGTCCAGGTTTGGATATGGAATGCTCTTCCAGTTCACCATGAAACCACAAAGGTAGAGCAACCCTCTGCTAACTCACTCCCACAGGTATTTGCCAAGCTTCCGGGAAAAGACAAAGGTATCTCTTACCATGAGAGTAATTAAATATATACAGTTCTTTTTCCTTATCAGTTCTTAAGCAGCTTAGATACCTCTGCAGTTCATTCACAATGTATTCGGCCACAGACCGGTTAAATTACAAAATCAAAAGCAGTAACTGTCTGGTAGTTGTCATTTACCTCAAAAAGGGCTACCTTAAGATGACAGTTGTCTGGTAAAGCTGTTTAATATAAGCATTTCAAGTAAGCAAATATGTTCCCTTTAAGACTGGTAATACTATGTGACACAAGCACCTCCTAAATAAGAGCACAGACATAAATAATTCTTTTACTTATATTTATTCAGCAGAGAAGTCTTTATGCAGTTAGTGGTTTGAGGTGCTTGACTTTGGGTTTATGTGCATCGTGTTTTAGTGGGCGCTAAGCCAAAAAGGACTGGCATCTTGTTTCCAAGGGCAAAGCTCTTAATCACCCAGCTTTCTCACACATGGATTTCAGAATGATAAACCATTCCCTAAGCATCTTGAACATTCATTAGTCTTATTCTCAAGCATACCAGTTCTGCTAGTCAAATCATGCAAAGCAAAGAAACCTTTCAACCTATTTGGTTAAATTCTTTCGAGTGCTTCAGAGGTAAGGAAACTAAACTCAGATCTCTGAAGAACACAGCAGATCAGATTCAGTGAAGAATGCAAGATCCCAGAGCAATGTTCAGTTAACTCTTTTCCCCATCTGTGCAAACTGCTGTGTTCCAAAAAATCAAAGCAGGTTTGAGTTTGTATAACAAGACTGAAGATCACAAACACACAAATATAAAATCTAAGTTAAAACAACAGACAAACAGAAAACAACACAGTGATTTTATTTCAGCACAGACTGTAAAGGATAGTTTCTACAACCGCAATATGGTAGAGACAAACCGAATATCCATTTTAACATGAGGGAAGCAAATTATAAAGGACAAAATAAGAAGTACTAACTGCTATTATACTATTAATAGGTCATCCCCTGACAGCTAGTCCTCAACAGCAGAAGTTTTCTAGGCTGTATTTTTATTCCTGCCAATCTCAAGAACATTAATATATATTAACCTTCAATGACAAACTCCTATTCAGATCAATTTAGAACACTTCTTCATGAAGCCAGCATCTGCTGAAACACTGTTACACAAAATAAACAGGAGAATTGCCAAACTTCATTCCTGCAGTGAATGAACTTCGATTTTGTTGAAGTCATTAAATACTTTCAGGGAAGCCCAAGTTATCACATCCTTGAGAGCATTTCCACCTGTGGTGTGAGACCAGCATGCAGCATGTTCATGTATGGCATCAACCAGTGGAATTACATAAAGGAGATCTTCTAGTTCCTTGCTTTAACTGTCACAGCTAACTCAGAATTCTTCACTACGTAAGCTGGATTTAGGTAGCAGGATTTCAGATTCCCTCCCCCACCAGACTACTATGAAGCTTCATGCTATCACCAGTTATATTAAGTAGCTATGCAATGTCAGGAAGTCATTCCAGTCATACTATCCTTCCAGGCTAAACAAAACTATGCTATTTAGAAGTCTTTGCCAACTTTCTTCCCCTCACCCTCCAAATAGGGCTTGAAATATTTCAATCATTCCCCAAGTTTTATTACATCCAAGCTAGAAAAAAAACCCTCAAGAGTAACAAACTCTGGCTTCAGAGTTACCAAAGAGGTTTAGTCTTTAAAGCAAAGTAACTTTCCCACAACTGTTTCTGGAAGAGAAACATTATCAGCTCTTTTTCCAGTAATTCCAGGCTAGGAAGAGACTCTTGGCTAAAGTTCTGGCTAAACCTAACATAACAAACTGAGCGTATTACAAAAGGCTTATTAGAAGCATATCTAGATGAACTACAAAACACTAAACAAATACTACTAAAACCAGGAAACAAGCGACAAAACTGCACTTTGTCAAAAAGTCAACAGCATCATCTGAAGTAATTTAATTCCCACTAAAAAAGGCAGAACACGCTCAAAGATACTAAAAACATGATTTTCTGATAAATCCTTTCATTCATGGTACCCACATTTGCTTATATGACAAACCTCTCTCAAGAACAGGACGCTTTTGCCCGCCCTACTTTCCTCTCTCTACCCTACTCCTCTCCTAGATGAAAGGAAAAAGGAGAATTTAAGCTGCACTACACATTTACTACAGTCATTCTCAGCCTACAGGCACAGATTTCCCAAGGGCTATGACAAGCCAAGAGACAGATCTCATGATTTCAAGAAATCTAACAGCATTGTAAAACACTTCATTCCTTACAACATCTGGGAACAGTTTAAAAGTAAAAGCCAGAAACGTGATGGTATGGGAGAGGAATAAAAGCATATGGGAATACCAACACAGACATGAAACGCTCCCTTCCAATAGATACACACTTGTAAGCACACTGCTTCAATATTCAGTATCTGAATTTAACTTGGGGGACAGGACAACACACTTCAAACCCCTTCAAGCAGCATTTCTAAACTTCATTCAGTTTACACGCAATGGCTCAGAATTTGATGAATGCTTCATTTTTGACAGGATACATTTTTAATGAAACACTGCATAAATACACCCTCACATACTTTTTAGTGAAGAACAAATACTGGAACTGCCTTATGCTCTGACTGCAAGCACTACTGTCAAAACACTTAATCCACATGGTAAATAGGCCATTACATCTCTTGAACATTTAGGATCACAGAAGACTCATTTAGGACAGGGCAAGACACGTCCAAACATACAATGCAAAATAAACTGCATGTAGGTTAATAAGTATTTTACAAATCATACAGTTTAAACTATAAGCTTTTTCTCACTTCATAAGAACCTTACTTACATGGATAACATCATTTTATTCAGTATCACATTAACTGGGTAGAATATGACCACTTTTCAATGCTTATTATCTGTATTCTCCTTTTTTCCCCACTTCAGTTCGCTTTCATGCTATCCTCAGCCCAGCATACATTGTTTATCCATCCTAACAACTAGCTTCACCATTTTTGCACTCATTTT